AATAAGAAAAAAGGAAGGAAGCATCAAGTAAGAAAAACTATTTATTAAATTTGCAAAAGTAAAATAACTTACTGTTCAAACATTCTGGAAAAAAATATTCACATTCAGAATAAAAGCAGAGTCAGAATTTGGCATAATAATTTTATCTTGCTTTATATTTACTGTACACATCTGAAGGAACACCAAATATCAGGCATTCGTTTTTATAGTCAACAAGGAGTTACATTTCTCTGCAAACATTTCATGTCCATAGATTCAGGTACAAAGTGCAATGTTTTTTAAGGCGAATGAACTGAAGTCTCTCTCATTGTTATTTTCTGTAGGTGGGAGTATAGTGTAAAAAAAGTGTACTGTCCAAGTTCTTAATCCACTTCCTCAATGGTAGGTCCGGAGCTGCTGCCTTGCCTGGCTTGAGCACCACAGCCTGAACCTGGCATACCTTCTGGCATGCCTCCCTGATACAGCTTGGTAATGATGGGTTGGCACACCTTCTCCAGTTCCTTTTGCTTATGGCTGTACTCCTCTTTCTCTGCCAGTTGGTTGCTCTCCAGCCAGGCGATGGTCTCCTTACACTTCTCAGAGATGAGCTTTTTGTCCTCCTCACTTATCTTCCCTTTCAAGTTCTCATCTTCCATCGTGCTCTTAATGTTGAAGGCATAAGATTCTAGAGAGTTCTTGGCAGCAATTTTCTCTCGCTGTGCTTCATCATCAGCTTTGTATTTCTCTGCGTCTTGCAGCATCTTCTCAATGTCCTCTTTGCTCAGACGACCTTTGTCATTTGTAATTGTGATCTTGTTTTGTTTGCCGGAGCTCTTGTCCACAGCCGATACATTCAGAATACCATTGGCGTCAATGTCAAAGGTGACTTCGATCTGTGGCACACCGCGGGGAGCAGGGGGGATGCCACTCAGTTCAAATTTGCCCAGGAGGTTGTTGTCCTTGGTCATGGCTCGCTCACCTTCATACACCTGGATGAGGACACCAGGCTGGTTGTCCGAGTAGGTGGTGAAGGTCTGGGTCTGCTTGGTAGGAATGGTTGTATTGCGTTTGATGAGGGCGGTCATGACTCCTCCAGCTGTCTCCAGGCCCAAGGAAAGTGGAGCCACATCTAGTAGGAGCAGGTCCTGCACAATCTCTGACTTATCCCCCATCAGGATAGCACCTTGAACAGCAGCCCCGTAGGCCACGGCTTCATCTGGATTAATACTCTTGTTCAGTTCTCTTCCGTTGAAGAAGTCCTGCAGCAGTTTTTGCACTTTGGGGATACGTGTGGATCCCCCCACCAGGACAATTTCATGAATCTGTGATTTGTCCAGCTTGGCGTCTCTCAGGGCTTTCTCAACGGGCTCCAGGGTACCACGGAAGAGATCAGAGCACATTTCCTCAAAGCGGGCCCTGGTGATAGAGGTGTAAAAGTCAATGCCCTCAAACAGAGAGTCAATTTCAATGCTTGCCTGGGTGCTGGAGGACAGGGTGCGCTTGGCTCTCTCACAGGCTGTTCTCAGCCTCCTCAGGGCCCTCTTGTTTTGGCTAACGTCCTTTTTGTGCTTGCGCTTGAATTCCTCCACAAAGTGGTTAACCATGCGGTTATCAAAGTCCTCCCCACCTAGATGAGTGTCACCTGCTGTGGCCTTTACCTCAAAGATGCCGTCATCAATGGTGAGGATGGAGACATCGAAGGTGCCACCTCCAAGGTCGAAGATGAGAATGTTGCGTTCTCCGCGACTCCCTTTGTCCAGGCCGTAGGCGATGGCTGCTGCTGTTGGCTCATTGATGATTCTCAGCACATTGAGTCCAGCAATGACCCCGGCATCCTTGGTAGCCTGGCGCTGAGAGTCATTGAAGTAGGCTGGGACGGTGATGACGGCATTGGTGACTGGGTGGCCCAGGTACGCCTCTGCTGTCTCCTTCATCTTCAGCAGAACCATAGAGGAGATCTCCTCCGGACAGAAAGTCTTCATCTCTCCTTTATAATCCACTTTGACCTTGGGCTTTCCTCCTTCACTCACCACCTGGAAGGGCCAGTGCTTCATGTCAGACTGCACCACATGATCATCAAAGTTCCTGCCAATCAGCCTCTTGGCATCAAAGACGGTGTTCTGGGGGTTGAGAGCCACCTGGTTCTTGGCAGCATCTCCCATCAGCCTCTCGGTGTCAGTAAAGGCCACGTAGCTGGGGGTGGTGCGGTTCCCCTGGTCGTTGGCGATTATCTCCACCTTGCCATGCTGGAAAACCCCCACACAGGAGTAGGTGGTGCCCAGGTCAATGCCGATGGCCACTCCTTTAGGTGCCATGTTGTCAGACCCTCAGGAACCAGTGCTGAAATATTCAGGCGAAGCAGCTGATGTGGAGAAGTGTGTCTGCGGTGGTCTTCTCAGGGATGCGATCAGATGTATCAGGCTGGGAAGTCTCTCTGCTGAAGCTGGGTAGAGATTCGCTCTGATGTCGGTGTGAAGCTGCTCTTGCTCTCTATACAGCGAGCTGTACCGTGTTCTACGAACTGTCACATTCCCGTGCATAGCTCGCTTATGAATAGGTCGAGTGCTGACGTCACGAAACTTCCAACCAGTCACGGCGCGGTCCTCTACACGCTTACCGTGTCGCATAGCAACTTTCCCGAAGTTTCCCGAGTTCTCCGCAGAGACAGCCAATCAGCGAGCAGCTACATTGAATTCCGCCGGAGAACCTTCTCCACCTTTCCAGGCTGAGACCGAGCTGTCCAATCAGAAGCCTCGGGCTGCCGGAGACGTCAGGGAGGCGGAGAATCTTCGAGACGTTTCCAGAGCTAGCTGTCAGTCAGTGACACTGTCAGCCAATCGGTGCGGAGGGCGGGGCGGGAGGACGTAAAGTCTGGAAGGATCCCTGGAATGAAAAGATTGTACTCCTGCAGATCCTCTAATATGGAGATCCCGGAGAAAAATATTGCAGCAGGGGTTGAGCCGTTGTCTCGGTGCGGTGCGGTGCGGTGGGGTATAAGAAGGTTATATGGAGCCCATTTCAAGTCTATGAACAGTGCAAACCTTTTTATGTTTAATGTATTTTTCAGTTTAGGATGGAGTAGAAAAGAGTTTAACCACTTGCTGCCCAGAGCAATTTCTTACGTTTGCACACACACGATAAAATCTGAATTGTTGGCTAGAAAACAGCTTCAGACCCCCAAGCAATGATATATTTTTCTGAAAGCAGAGGCCCTATAGAATAAAAAGATGCTAGTTGCACGATATTTGTGCAAATGTTTGTCAAACAAGTATTTTTAGGATAAGATACACTAAAATAAAATGTACTGCACAGAAACAGAATATAATGCCCAATTGTTTGGTAAAATATAAAAGTCGGGGTCACGCCGGGTAAATAGATACCCAACATGTCAAGCTTTAAAATTGCGTGCGTCGCAAAAAAACTACAATAACCAAAATTTCACATAGGCGACGCTTTAAATGCTTTCACTGCTTATCAGTTTAGTTCTAACAGTGATTGATGGCCCTAGAATGATTGCTCTCACTCCGACGCTTGCAACGCTATATAACGTGTGGCACAATTTTTTTTGCCCGTAGGCGCATCCGACGCCTGTTTGCGTTGTATGTGTGTGCATGTGGGGGGCGGGGGACTTTAAGAAATTGTTTTGCTCTTTTTATTCTTTTTATGTTACTTTAATTTTTACAATCTTTTTTTCTACACTCAGCTTTATTTCTATCACATAAGGGGCTAACTAGCCCCATATGTAATAGCAAATATAATGTGACAGGTCCTCTTTATGTAGTAACAGTAGAAAGGCATCATGGCACACTCACAAACCAGCATGTAAAACAACTTGTCTCACCACTAAGGACAATGACAGAGGTTTGGATACATGTCTTCTGCAAAGAATGTGTAAGCCGCACTGCCGCGCCAAGGCACCTCTTATAGTGCGGTCCTAACTCTAAACTATGAGAGTCTCCATCTTGGAGCACATAGGGGCAGAAGATATCAAATTGGGTGCAGGCCTGTCAGGAGGACGCCTGTTGGACTACTGTTCAAAGCCCATTTCGTGTGCATCTTACTGTATAACTGGTAACAAATTGTTGAGTGCGTTTGTCGTTTGTTTTGCAGGTCCTCTTTATAGACACATCAGAGGTCTTTTAGACCCCTAATGTCATTTAGGGACCCCAAAGAAGCTGATGAAGCAGAGATCTGTTTCATCAGCTTCTTCTGGTTCTAGGAGCCGGAGGCTGCGCCCAGTGACACCGGTAGTGATGTAATGCACATCACTTCCGGGTCCAGTGATCGGAGGAGCGCTCAGCGGCTGGAAGCCGCTGAAAGGGGGGGGGAGCGGGACACGGCGCCGCACTGTATAAGCGATCCGGCGCCTGTACAGTCGCTGGATCGCTTGTATTTAAACAGCAATCGCTGCCGTCAGAATAATAATAATAAAAAAAACAACAATATAGGAATGAATAGCTAGATTGCTATTGGCTATTTCAATTTGCAATATCCAATACCAAGCTGGCTATTGCACCTGCCCTCTACTGCTGTTAATCAGCAGAGGAGGACCTGATGGAGAACTTCTGGTCCACCTCTGCTGATTGACAGCAGTAGAGGGCGGGTGCAATAGCTAGTCTGCTATTGGCTTTTGCAAATTGAATTAGCCAATACAAACTTGGCTATTCATTCCTATGCTGTTTGTGTTTTTCTCTGACTGACAGCGGCCAGTGGCCGGCGGCTCCGATGTCAGAGAAAAAAACGAAACAAACAGATAGCAGGGAAAGGTTTACTCTGCTAGATAGAGCAGAATAACCCTTTCCGGGAGAAAATGTTTATCTCCCGTGCGGCTGGGAGCCGCTGTCTAATAGTGGAAGACTCCCAGAACGTCCGGGAGAGTTGGGATGTCTGATAATGATGATTGCAATGGGTGATTGGTCAGTGCTGCCATGTGACTAATGACAATCTCTTCTCCCAGGAGAAAGAAGGCTCAGAAGAGATTCTCATTGGTCAGCTCCCCCATAGGCTGTAGTCAAATAAAAGTCCATAAACCCATCGCACTCCTAACCGTCTAGTCCAGGGGTAGCCAAACATGCAACAAGCCCTGCATCATGGGATTTGTAGTTTCACCACAGCTGGAGGGCCGGTGTTTGGCTACCCCTGGTCTAGTCCCTTAAATATAGCGGGTGCAGTGGTGACAAACTGATGGCGCTGTCACAGAATATATAGATGTAAGGACACGGGCACTCCAAAATTACTGAAGAACATGTATTTTATTGACACATGTGCATATAATCATATAACGGCAACATTTTGGGGTCACGCAGGATCCCCTTCAACATGCAAAGCCATATAACGATCACATGATACATCAACATGATGATGATCATGTCATGATACATGACACCCACTGCTCACAAAAAATGGCCAGAATAACATGAGTGTTGTTTTGCTTGCAGAGGACCGAGGTTCAATCAAAATCTCCAACTAACTCACTGCCGGTGCTCAGGAAGAATGGAGCTCTGTACAGTTGCGGTGCGCATGCGCGCATAGCGTTTTCAGAATACTCATCGAGCTTGCCATCTGCTGAATATTGTTAACATGCAGCTGTACAGAGCTCCGTCAGTCTTTGTGTTTTGCAGTCTAGTCAAAATCTCCAACTTGCAAGTACCCGGCAGTGAGGTAGTTAGAGATTTAGACAAGTTGGTGCTTTTGATAGAACACCGGCATTACTGGACCAATGTAGAAGCAGAGTGTCCTAAATCAGGGCAAAAATAACTTGGCAATATTTTTTTTTTTTAATACATAAAGGGGACGTTTAACAATAGAAAGTACTTGGAGCTCCGCTGTAAAATATGTGTAGCTTGTCTCTGATTTTTTTTTTTTAAAGCTTCAACATTCAAAACTAGAGCACAGCCGTGCTGAGACTTCACAAAAATGGCCGCCATAGGACTTCTTCCGCCACAATACTGTGGATCATCACTCTAGTGTCTGAAATGGAAAACACATAATAAGCTTTGTGATTGGTTGGCGTCTTCTCGCGAGGATTTACCGGCATTGAGCACAAACGTGAAGCGCTCGTTGAGTTGTGCGAGGTGATTGTAGCGGAGATCAGCGCGGAGCGGCGGGTGACGTCACCATGGTAAGAGCGGCTGCAGGTGGCCGTGACCAGCGAAGTCGCATGGTCTGAGCATGTGTCTTCCTGAGCTGGCTGGGATCTATTGAAGGAAAATGCTGGGACTTGTAGTCCCAACAAGGCTTTTACCATCATATCAGCCTGTCGGTTCATGATGGGGCACATTTGTAAACAGCGGGGGATTTACTTTGTGTACATTCGCTGCCATTTGCTTGTGCATCCCAGAATGTGACTGCAGATGAGAATATTAAAGTAAATCTAAATCAAAAACCTTTACTTTTCATAGTGGATAGAGTAGTGGATGCCTGACAGTATTTTTTTGCTGCCTTATGGCCCAATTCAAAATATTTTCTTTCACTTCCTGTCCTGAGGCAACAACAGGAAGTGATGGAAAATCTCTCAAAAGTGAGCAAAATTACAGTTGACACCATGGGATCTATTTATAAGGCTTCCAGAGCTTGTTCCTCTGGCAAAACTGCCGGCACATCCGTCCTGTGTGATTTAACCAGTTGTTGTGAGAATGCAACAAAAACAAATGTTAGAGTATTTTCTCTTCTGGTTGAATGTTCTTCAATAGGCTAACGGAGTAGTAAAGTCCCAGTGTATCCTCTCCTGTTCTACCATCCGCATTGTAGTAGGCATACATACTAGAGTTGTTGTTGATCATGCAATCAAAGCTTACTTGAAAAAATCCCTTTTATGTAGTGAGTGCCGCCTTCTGTCTGCCCATCACTTCCAACATCTTCCTGATTTCCCAGTGTGCTTTGCGTCTCTTTCCCTGCTGCTTGATGTGAGCCAATCTCCATTTCTCAAGACTACATAACCCATCATGCATTGCTTCCAGCCAGCTGTGATAATGTTACGTTGTTCAGATGCTGAGTTGTAGTTCAGGAGGCAGGAGAAGTGAGAGAGGTGACACCAGGAAGTGCATATTCACAGGGCTGAGTGAAATGGTGTCAGAGTGTTGAGGAAGTCCATCCTATGGGCATCTTCAGTTTACAGACTTCAAGTTGGATCTGGTAATTCGGAACGGGGTGGAAGTCTTGGAAATTCAAAATGGAAATACAGACTTATTGGCAGATTTTGACCAGAGATGCCCTTTAACCAGCTGTTGTGAGAATGGGGCAAGCTTGCATGTTCATGCTGTTATTTCCCTTCTGGTCGCATTTTCTTTAAAGGAGAACTATGGAGATGAGTGCTTTCCACTCACCTCATAGTTCTAGCCGACCTGTGACAATGAGACTGTCACAGGTCGGCTCAGTAGATCGGGAGGTGAGGGAACACATACCGGGTTCCCTCACCTCTCGATCCTGTCACGGCAGAGAGCTGGATTCCCCCCTCTGATAGCGCTGACTGGTGGAATGGACGGGGGAGGGGGTGGGTACAGCTGGCTCTGTCTCTGTCTCCTAGATAGGCAGAGCCAGCTCTCACTCATGCAGCTGGGCGGATCCAGACATCTATGTCGGGATCCGCTCCGGCTGCAGCGTCTCAGTATACCGCGAGCTGTAGCTCGCGGTATACTGAGCCTAGGGTGACGGGAGGATGCTAGTTTGTGTCCTCCCATCACCCTAAGGAGAACTATGGGGAAAAGCCCTAACCCCATAGTTCTCCTTTTTTAATAGGTTCATTCATACAGAACAATGAATGAGGCCAATACCACATTATGGCCACTAGATGGTGCTGAGGATCATAGGAAATAAATACATGTCGGTAATAAGATACAACAATGTTACAATTCTAGAGATTTCTGAGGGGAATGAACATACAAATGGTAACACTGACGTTATGAGGATAGCGGGGCGGCTGTTTGCCACATCCCATTATCATGGAACATGAAACGGTGAAAACTGACATTGGATAGAACTCTGTATAATGTTATGTGACCCCCATAGATTGGGATCTGAAATATTTGCCATTGATTTGTTTGCCTTGTTTTGTATTTCTGCAGTTGTTTTACTCTTTCTTCAAGTCTCTTGTGGGCAAAGATGTTGTCGTGGAGCTAAAGAATGATCTGAGGTGAGTATTCTGTTCAGTCTTCACCCTCTGACAGCTTTTCGTGTTCAGTTGCTGGGGATTAAACAAAGTAAAAAAACACAGACAAAAGATTGGGGTGAACGTGTGCTTTGGCCACACAAGCTTGTCCGCTCTTTCTTCTGCTTTTGAACTAATTGAACTTTCCTCTTCTTCCAGTATTTGCGGGACTCTGCACTCGGTGGATCAGGTAAGATTGCAAAATTGTTTTCTCTCTTGGCTGTGTTTGAAGTATTACTGTACATAACACACAGTGGTGGCAGATTCCTATCGCCCAACACCCGGGGCTCACAGTTGGGGGGTGCCAGTCAGGTGTTTGTTTTTTTTCCTCCACATTTAGCCCTGCAGCAGGACTACATGTAGAGCAGGGGAGCTGCCACACCTTTCGTACAAGTGATCTGGGTGGCTGTTCAGCTGCCCAGATTGCTAGTAGTAGCTTGCTTGTCCGTCCCCCCATAATCACCTTTCTCCCCACCCCCACCCAGCTGAAGGTGTCGACTAAAGGTTTGTCTACTAAAATCTAGCGGGTTTGGTTGGTCATTTAAGAATTTCTCTAGAATTTCCAATCTTTCTATACTCGGGGAGTAAACATCTGTTATCCTGTTATTACTTCTGGTATTAAGGTTTGAACACGCAATGCAGACACAGATGTAACTGTTGTGATATGTAACATGTCTTTATCTTAAAATCTAGAATAAACCGTCTTATGAAGAAACAATATTGATTATTGTTAAGAAAGGACCAGACATTAGATAGGCATTGATTTAGAACTACTTGCATATGAGATTCTTCATTCTTTCACGCAGAAGTGCAACTAAAATATTCAAATGAAAAACTATATTGGCCATAATGCCATTGCACATATTAGCCGTCCATTCAGGGTGGAACTGGAAGTCAAGAGATTAGTTCTGATTGGATCTCTTCCTAACATTTTAATCTTGTTTTAGTTGAGTAAAATGTCAATATATTTTTGTTATAGTTTAATCATCATAGCTTCGTTTTTATTTAGTTTTAGTCTAATTTAAGTCACTGAAAAAGTGTTGCTGAAAACTATGCCGAAAAATTTTAGTTGACAAAATTAACACTAATGTAAAGTGATGAAGTGTTACCTCTTAGGGCCGGCTCACACCATCTCCAGTGCGTTCCGACACAGTTAGTGGCCGGGAAACGTGGGCATTGCTGTGCCACGAGCTCTGGCGCAGGCGATTGCACTGTGGGCAGGGCGGCATTCACTTTGTAAACCAATGCATTCCAGCCACTAACAGTGCTAGAACGCACTGGGGATAGTGGGAACCCGCCCTTAAACTGGAGATCTGCAGTCAAAGAAAGGGCCTGGTGTACAACACTGCTAGAACTCCCATCAGATGGTAAAAGGATGCCGGTGCATATGATCAAAGTGTGTGTATCCAGAGGGGTAATGTAATCCCGCAGGGAAAGTCACCCAACTCATGGCCAGCAAGAAGGTTAACCTCTCAGTGAAGCTAGGTATGCAAACTGTTGGTAGCGGGCGCTGCAACTGTCACTCAATGCGAGAAAAAAAAAATAGTCCTCCTCAAAGCTTTGAGTGCCAGTTGCAGCGCCCGCTACCAACAGTTTACACATCTTTTTACATTACCATACATATTGGAACATTATGCAGCAAGTATTTGGATTCATTAGATCTTTACTAAACCGCAACAATGTATTTACAGATTAAGTGTAAATCCCTTTTAGCCAGCGCTTAGACGTAGACTACAAGCGGAGTCTGATCTGAAATGCAGCTTGAATTGCTCATTTCATTATGAAAGCTTCTTGCCTGCTTGTCTGAGTTCAGTACTTCCTGGGCCTGGAAAATGAATGGAGCAAGTAAAGTCAGATCTTCTGATCTGCAGATTTGTTCCAGGCGAGTGGCTCAAAGTCTGTAAGGCAGAGGATCTGCATGACAGCCAGGCAGCTAGCATCTTCTGATGGGAGCCCTCAGTGACGGCCTCTATATTGCTTTAATTTCCTATTCTCTCTTTTATATGTAATCCATGCTAATGCAATGTAATACTTCTGCATGTATTTTCAGTATCTAAACATCAAACTGACGGATATCAGTGTGACAGACCCGGAGAAATATCCACACATGGTGAGTAACCATTTCCTTAACTGCTTGTGTCTTTGTAATATCCCCTTCACACACCGTACCGATGTACCCCAGAATCCAAGGGGTGCTGGAACAACAGGTGGATGGAGACACCGATGGCAATCTAGAAGATATGTTGTCCAAAAGCACACCTAGCCTGATGAAGGGGTCCTGTGAGGCTCCGAAACGTTGCATTCACATGTCATGCTAAAGGAATACGAATAGAGGACGTTCTGAAGCAGAATGGTGTGCGAACAACATATCTTCTAGATAATCTGCAGTGTACAGTCACGTCAGCCAGCCTGCACAAGTCAATCACAGGCAGCAGCTGCACTCATATCCAAACAAAACATGCATGCAGGGCCGTATGTGCCTCTCAGCACATGTAGCCCTGTATGCTTGTAGATAGGGATGCGCCGATACCGGGTACAAGTACTCGCCCAAATGCTCCGATACCAGAACTTCTGGTCAGAAGGAGATCTCCTCTGACCGGCAGGGCCAGAACATGGAGCCGGATTCCCATCCAATCGGCATGGATCGGTTAAGCATGGAGCCGGCTTCCCGGCTAGTCAAGAACCCGGGCGGCAGGTAATGACATGCCGCCTGGCTTCCTGGTTGCCCAGGAAGCCGGCTCCATGCTAACAGAAGTACCGGTATCGGGGTGTTTAAATAGGCTGAATGGTGACGGCTGTATGTTGCAACTGGCACTCCCAGCAGAAAAATACATGTGTGCATTATACAACTGTTTCCTGCCATGTGTATAAGACATGCAGTGGCAAACAACCCCCCCCCGAACACTTTAAATAGCAGCCCTGATGCCTCAGTCTTGTGTTTTGTGCACATCAGCAGGCATTTCCCCTGTTACAGGATCTTGGACACCTCCCTCTATCCCAGGGGGCTACTCCCTTTCTTAGGCCAGCTGAAAAGACGGACCTTGCCCTCTTGGAATGTTGGTGGGGACCCCTGGCTGCTTCCACTTTTGGGGCTTAGTGCCTGCACTTTCCCCAAATGTGTACATCTTGCTGGTGGTAGAGGGAGTAGCACTGTTGTCACGTCTGACAATTTGCTTCCAGCGGTGCCAGCATCAGGGAAGCCTGAAACCGCATGGCCGCACTCTGCTGTAGGTTGGAGTGGTCTGGAGCGGTTTGTCTTGCGGTGCTCAGCCATCTTCTTGCATCCGCAGACAACTTTCCAGTGAAACAGACGGCAAGGTAATGGTTGCTCCTGCATTGGTTTCAATATGGAGGACCCTAATGTCTGTCTGGTGGTGAGACGTGGTATACATTCTTTGCATTTCCTATTCCCTGTTAAAGTTTTCTTCTATATAGGGTTGCTGGTATCATTTTTCTTAATGCTATAACCACTTTATTGTCCATCCTTTCACCTCTTTAACTGCAGAATTAGAAGTGGAATGAGACAGATTTATAAGGATATTAAAAATAACAAAATAATGAACAGTAGTAAAATGCGAATAAAACGGCCCAGAGTGAGGCTATTGATCAAAAGATATTTAATGGTAAAGGAATCCTATACAAAAGAAGCTTGCATGCTGCCATTGATAACCTTACCTTATCAAAGTGCTAATTACCTGGCTGTCATGACCTTGGGAGTTCTGACTTCACTCTGACATTTGTTATTCATGCGTCTGTTTTGGAGCCAATTGTACAAAATCGGTAAATGGTCACTCGCACTCCAACTTGATGCAAAGTCAATACCTTTTATTGACTGGGATAGTGTCTCACTTATAGCGAGCCAAACACGGCCAGACAACTGGCAGTTTTAGAAAGGAATATATTACTTCCATTACACGTCAACTTTAAAGTGAGCCTGTCAGGGTTGCAGTTTTCAGTCACAGTCCAGGCTTCCATCCAGCATTGTAGGCTTCCATTTCTAAATGGCAGCGGTGCATGTGCTTAGTCAGGAGTATCAGTTTGTAGTGCCGCATATGTGTGCTCTGCTCCAGAACTTCCACTCCGGCATTGAATGAAGCCTTGGCTCAGCATCTTGAACCTTCAGAAGTCTTTGATTTTTCTTAATCTGCCTTTTGCCTCTTTCCTCTGACTTGGCTTTAATACTTTTGCTCTCTTGGACAGCTGTCTGTGAAGAACTGTTTTATCCGGGGCTCTGTGGTGCGCTATGTCCAGCTTCCGGCTGATGAAGTGGACACTCAGTTACTCCAGGACGCAGCAAGGAAGGAGGCGGTCCAGCAGAAACAGTGACCTACTGGGGCAGACTTCTTCCTTTTTTTTTTTGTGTCTGACGAGTGCTGTTTGCCTTGTTTAGACTGGTCTATGTATCCCTTCTGTCAGACGCAGTCAAGCTCTTGGACAATTATCCAACATTAAACTCCTTTTTCTGCAGGCCAATGTGACAACCTGCTGGAGATGAAGACTCAAAGTCCACGATCAAATAAATATTGTAACTTTTTATGTTTTTGTTTTTTTTATTTTCGTTCTACAACTGTACAGCTTGAACGAAGGCCACAAGAATGCTGATACTTGACAAAATTCTCTGGGCTCGTTCTGCAGGCTGGTGCAAATGTTTTTGCTTATATCTTGAAGGTCTTCAGTTGTAATCCTGAGTTTCTGATTGAGTCATTGGAGCTGATCCACTCTCCTTGGGGAGGCATAGTCTAGATCTCCAAGGAGTGGGAAAGCCACATATAGAGTACTAGAAGGTCAATTAGCCTTTAACACAATGGGGTTGATTCACTAATGGCAAATGGGCTGTTCACTTTGCAAGGGATTTTCCCCTTGGCTTTGTTATTGGGGTAAAAATTCACTTTGCAAAGAATACCCAATCATGCGCATGGAAAATAGATTTGTTTGCACATTAGATGTCAGAACTTCTACAGAGCTTTAAATCATTCATTGAGCTAAGGGAAAACGTCTTTCAAAGTGAACAGCCTTTGTCTGCTGCTTCAAGATCTGAGCTATGCGCCCCCAAGGAGAGTAGCTCAGGAACCGGTGGGGTAAGGTGGGCATTTAAAGGATAGATTGACAGTTTTTCTTTTAATTTTGTCTTGTCCCCCCAATTCATCCCGGCTTCTATTTTCTTAAGACGCCAATTCAATTTGAAGAGTTTTATTTTTTTATTTTTCTTGAAGGTAACCTTAATTTTTCTTGAACCTGAATCACACTTGGGAATGGAGCTGGATTGCCGGGTGTCACCAATTCCTTCCTGAGACTTGTGGATAAGCTGTAGATGGCACTGTACAATACAATGATAGCTGTCCCCATCCGCAGCTGTCCTCAGGCCATTCGCATGTAATCACAAATGCTGCGATTACCTGCAGATGACCGTACCTGGAAGCTGACTGTTTGCTTTCAGGTGTGTTTGTTCGCAGGTAACGGCAGGATGTGCCATTACACTTGAATGGTTTGTGAACAGTGACAGGCAGTGACATATGTTATTGGGGGGGTTTATCAAAACTGCAGTAGAATCTGGATTAGTTGTCCATGGCAACCAATCTTCTTCTCTCTTCAGTTTGTTCGTTCAGATAAGCTATGAAAAGGAGAAGCTGTGGACAACTGGTCCAGATTCTGTCTGCTCCAGTTTTGATTTCCCTTGTTCTATTATACAGCGCCTCCCACCCAGAGCTGACTGCTTGAGTCTGACAGAGGACTTGCTGAGACCCATTACTGGCCCCAGTAGCAAGTGTCAGTGGGGCATTGCAGAAACAGAGCCAAAACAGTCTGAACACTTTTGGGTAGGAGCAAACTCATTTATTAAATATTTTGTGTTTTTTTTTTTTTTTTTTTTTTTAT